AGATATTTAAAAAATGAAGTTGCTAATTGTTAGAATAAAGCTAGTCACTATTGGAAAATGACCTTAGTGATAGAAATAATGCTGGAGATTGTATGGTTGAATTGTGAAAAATCAATGATTTGTTCATTTCAAATACCTACTTTAGACAGCATAAGAGACGATTATACACATGGACCAAAACAGAATACACAGAAATCAAATTGTATGCATCTGTGCAAAGAGACAAACCCAAGTCCATGAGAGCCAAAATATGACCTTGAATACATTCCGCCAGAATTTAAGAGATCATCTGAAAAACAAGTTTGATACATTAAACACTAAAGACCGAAGATCAGAAGATTTGTGGGATGACATCAAGAACATCATACATGAAGAAGCAAAAAGCCATTAAGAAGACAAGAAAGAATGAAAAGATCAAAACGGATGTCAGAAGAGACACTGGAACTTGCTCTTCAGTGTAGAGATGCTAAAGCAAATGGAAGAAATGAGGAGGTCCAAAAGCTAAACAGAAAATTTCAAAGGTCAGCTTGAGAAGTCAAAGTCAAATATTACAACAAAATGTGCAAAGATCTGGAGTCAGAAAACCAAAAAGGAAGAACACGCTCAGCATTTCTGAAGCTGGGAGAACTAAAGACAAATTTCAAGCCTCAACTTTTGCTACTGAAGGATCCTTTGGGCAAATTATTGAATGATGCAGAAAGCATCAAGAGAAGATGAAAGGAACACACAGAGTCACTGTATGAACAGTGGTTGATGTTCAACTGTTTCAAGAAGTAGCAAATGATCAAAAGTCAATGATACTGAAGAAAAAGTCCAAGGTGTATTGAAAGAATTGGCAAAGAACAAGGCACCAGGAATTGATGGAATAAAAATTGAAGTCTTTCAAGAAAGTGAGGCAGCACTGGAGGTAATTACTCATCTATGCCAAGAAATTTTAAAGACAACTATCTGGCCAACTGCTTGGTCCCTATTTGTGCCCATTCTAAAGACAGGTGACCCAATGGAATGCGGGAATCATCAGACAATCTCTTTGATATCCCATGTGAGTAAAATTTTACTAAAGGTAATACAGAAACAGCTGCAATCATACATTGACAGAAAACTTCCAGAGGTTCAAGCCAGATTCAGAAGCGGCCGTAGAATGAGGGATATCATTGCTGATGATTGATGGATCTTGGCTGAAAGCAGAGACTATCAGAAAGAAGTTGACCTGTGCTTTACTGACTATGCAAAGGCTTTCGATTGTGTGGATCATAATAAGCTATAGACAACATTGTGAAGTATGAATAGTCTTGAAAACTTAATTGTGCTCATGAGGAATCTGTACCTGGACCAAGAGGCAGTTGTTCACATAGAACACGGGGACACTGAAGTTTAAAATTAGGAAAGGTGTGCAACAGGTTTGTATTCTTTCACCATACTTATTCAACCTGTATGCTGAGCAAATCATCCAAGAAGCTAGGTTATAGGAAGAAAAACATGGCATCAGGATTGGAGGAAGACTCATTAACAACCTGTAATATGCAGATGATACAACCTTGCTTGCTGAAAGTGAAGAGGATTTAAAATACTTACTGATGAAGATCAAAGACCATATCCTTCAGTATGGATTGCATCTCAATGTAAAGAAAACAAAAATCCTTACCCCTGGACCAATAAGCAACATTCTTATCAATGGAGAAAAGACTGAAGTTGTCAAGGACTTCATTCTTCTTGGATCAACTATCAACACTCATCGAAGCAGCAATCAAGAAATCAGATGACGTACTGCATTAGGCAAATCTGCTGCACAAGACCTTTTTAAAGCGTTGAAGAGCAAAGATGGCAGCTTGAGGACTAAGGTGCACCTGATCCAAGCCATGGTGTTTTCAATAACCTCATATGCATGTAAAAGCTAGACAGTGAATAAGGAAATCCACAGAAGCTTTTGAGTTATGGTGTTGGAGGAGAATATTGAAAGTGCCATGAGCTGCCCATAGAACCAACAGATCTGTGTTGGAAGAAGTGCAGACAGAATGCTCCTTGGAGCCAGGATGGCCAAACATCATCTCTCATAATTCGGACATATTTTCAGGAGGGACCAATTGCTGGAGAAGGATATCATGTTTGGTAAGATGGAGGGTCAGAGAAAAAGAGGAAGACCCCCAGCGAGATGGACTGGCGAAGTGGCAGCATCAATGGGCTCAAGCGTGGCAACAATTGTGAGGTTAGCTCAAGACCGGGCAGTGCTTCATTCTGTTGTGCATAGGGTTGCTATGAGTTGGTACCAACTAGATGGCACCTAACAATAACAACTGAAAGTTGAAAAAGTTTACTGAAAGGAGGTCATTAGTTAGTTTCTACTGGGTTGGGCTTGTCACATTAGTACCAACCTGCCAATTTACAATGAAGAAAAATTTGGTTATACTTTGGCATTAACACACAAATGACCAAGAACTTCTTTGGCACTGAACAACAGGGTCCAAACAGAAGACAAAATAATTTTATCCCATAAGAAACTAAACAGAGCAACTTGCCTTATATTTGATACCTTAAAAGTTTCTGGTATCTAAAAAAGATAGTGAGTATTTAACTGCAACCACAATGAACAGACAACTATTATGATAGTTTTATAATGAAACAAAAGAAAACTTTTAACACTATAAAAATACATTTAAAAAAATTACAAACAATAAAGCTTAAACCTTTTTAGAACTGTTTTGATGTATATTATAAATTATATATTTAAAAACTGTTTTCTCACTACATTTATAAATAGTGTTCATTTTCTGTTTTCCAAGGGAAAAATAAAAAGTTTATCTCAAAGTACTTACACTTGAGCTACATTTGAATGATTAACTCTTCATGATGGTCTCTCTTAAATTATATTGCTATGGAGGACTACTGTGTTTTTTCACAAATAGCCCATGTAAGTTATGCAAACATATAAAAGGGGCTTTAAGAAGTTTATGGGAAAAAATAGAATTGTTCCATGAACTTTTTGACATTCCCTATTATAACATGTATGTGGTCCTGGTGTGGTGCTGTGGGCTAATGTGTCAGACTGCAAAGTCATTTGAACTGCAAGGTGGGTGGTTCAAGCTCACCAGCTGCTCCTTGGAAACCGTATACAGGGTTGCTATGGGTCAGAATCGACTCGACAGCACTTAACAACAACAACAACAATTATATAACATATAGAAATTAAGAAATTGCTTTTTCAAAGTTCCGGCACAGTGCACTTATGACTGCACACACACGTCTTGTGACATTTCCTGAAATGAACCTCAGCCTCATTCATCTTCATTCAACAGTTAAGAAAATATTACTTTTGGTATTTGTATAATACAGACATAAGCTATGGTCATGGATTGAGTTTAATAGTACCCCTGGTAATCAGAAAATAAACCAAGGCAACTGTGTGTTTATTTCCATTAATTTGAGTTGATAATTATATATACTGCTATTTTTGAGTTACCAATAGGAACCTTCAGTCTACTGAAGCCTGTTCATAAATCACATACTATCAACGGAAGTGTAAACACAGTAAAGCCTGCACTGGCATAAATGGTAACAGGCATTGCAATTCAATCTGCATTGACATAATTATCAGTCATCTTCTAAACTGGTTTTTAACTGGATGAGTAAAGAAAGCAAAACTGATACATGATCACTCTTGGCTCAACAGACATAGGCAAAAACCTTATTAGATTGAATTAAGCTATGTTAATTTAATCAAATTATTTATTAGCACCAATGTCTTTGATCTCAATCTTAAATCATATGCTTGTGAGCATATAAAAACACCATTGC